ATCTCCCTCCCGGGACCACGCCCATGCCTTTCCCTTCCCCCACCCTACCCTGCACCACCCCCCCAGGCACATTACCCTTAGCTTCCTCACTCCCAAACTCCAAGGGCTCTTCCTTTACCTCTCAAACTTGTTTCCTAAGCCCATTTCTTCTAGGAATTACTTTTTCTACCTCTGTAATTTACCCAATAAATGTTCTCTTACCAAAAAAATAGTAATATATATATATAAGGATAACAAATAAAAGAAAAAATAATGTGCAGATCCATATAAAAATCTATTTACAAGCCAAGGGGGGGTGGGGGGAGGTCTAATCTTGGAGTTCATACTGCTAAGAGTTTGGGATTCTGATTTTCTTTCCTTCAGTCTGGAACACACAAAAAACAAATTAATAGAGACTATGCTAAAGAAATCTGATCACAGAGATTTAAAATAATTTATTTAGCAATATGTCAAAAACTGAAAAGGGAATCTGGGCCTTTTTCTAACAAAGTTCCTTTTCAATACTCCTTGAGTCAATAAAACCTAAATTGTCATTTCGGTTGTAGAAGTAGAGAAAGATTCATGCATGTGCCAAGTCTTCAATAAATATCTGTAAGTCTGGCCAGTGTGGCTCAGTGGTTGAGCGTCGACATATGAACCAGTTCAATTCCAGGTCAGGGCACATTTCTGGGTTTCGGGCTCCCCTATAGTAGGGGGCATGCAGGAGGCAGGCCATCAATGATTCTCTCTCATCACTGATGTTTCTATCTCTCCCTCTCCCTTCCTCTCTGAAATCAATAAAAATATTTTTTTTTAAATATATATCTGGTCCTAGCTGGTTTGGCTCAGTGGATAGAGCGTCAGCCTGCAGACTGAAAGGTCCCAGGTTCAATTCCGGTCAAGGGCACATGCCCCGGTTTCAGGCTCAATCCCCAGTAGGGGACGTGCAGGCAGCAGCCGATCAATGATTCTCTCTCATTGATGTTTCTCTCCCTCTCCCTTTCTCTCTGAAATCAATAAAAATATATTTTAAAAAAATAATATATATCTGTTAATTAAGTGGATGGAAGCGAAATGAAACATGCCATCTCTTCACCATTTCTGTAATGAATCAGATATCCAATACATACTTCAGTATGCAGGAAAGCTCCCCACAACAGATAATTATTTGGATTTGGCTCAATAAGTCAATAATGCAGAGGTTAGAAACCCTGCCATAGCCTATCAGAAGAGAATTTGGTGGATGTCCAGACATCCCTTGTTCTAATATTCATCTCACCTACTAGATGCCACAGTACCCAACAGTTGTGATGAACAAAAATGTTTCCAGATACTGCTAAAGGTCCCCTAGGAGGCAACATCATCCTTGATTGAGAGGCACTGATTTATGGCAAGATGAAGAAATACAAGATAAGTAACAATAGCTACCAAGACTTATAAGTAGTAACTGAACAGCTATTCATAACAAATTGGACAGCTAGACCCTAGGTACCGATAATGGATTATGGCAATTTTGTCAACTTTGTAAAAAGTTCATTTGTCCCTTATTATTAAACAATTTTACTAATGATTCAGAAAGAAACACAAAAACAGGTTTAGCAAATTTGTAGAAGATATGAAGTCACATGATATAAAAAAAATAAGTGGATGAGAGACATTGAAAGAACTACTGGGTTCTTCCACAGGGAAGCTTTGTACAATCTTAAACTGAAAATTGCTTTTTTTACTCTAGTAATGTGTGACTTAGGTACTTTAAAATAATATTAATCTAAAGACTTTACTCATCCTCAAAAATGCTAAACTAGTTTCTTTTCTACAGAGTTTTAGCCCACAATCAACAATAATTTTTGAACAAGTACAGTCAAAGAAATATAATACACAGTGCTTAGTTTCCTCTCACTTCGAATTTTTCTCTCAATAACTCCAGGTTTCCCTGAAAACATCTAAGAAAAACTCTCTACCCTACAGAGAATCCATTCCTATTTGTCTGTACACAAAACTGAATGTCCCTAAAAACTAGCAAAAAGAATGCTACACACACATCCCCAATAATATTTTCTGCTACTATTTTCCCCAAGTCACAGGTCACTGATATTACATAGTAACCTGGAGAACACATTTCTAATTTTTTCCCATTTAGCATCAAGATCACTAACTGCCTCTGGAATTACATACTATTAAGATGACCAGTCATAAACAATTCTCAACACAGGGAAAACCCCCATCATTTTCAACCAAACGCCAGCCCTTGATGAAACTGGATAGTAAAAGGTCATCTTTGCCAAACAAAACTCAAGGTCTCTCACTTCATTAAACAGGTAAAAGTAAAAATATTTACCTAGTACAACAGTATTCGGTTTTTACCAACCCACAAAATCTTTTTACTAGAGTCGATGGTTAGCTATGAAGATATTTATCAGCAGTTTTTTCCTTTTCCTGTATTTGGGAGATTAATATAGTTAGGTACTTTAAAAATCAATAAATAGTGCAAGATAGATTTAATCAAATAAAATGGTGAAAAATATGTCATGGAACTAAATGAAAAGCCTAAAGATCTGTACAATAAGATAGCCTAAAGAACTGTATAATAATATAAACAAAAACACTTAAACTAGGTTATTTTCTAAATTAAGGTGATTTCCTAAATATGTTCCTCATTGTTTATAAAACACTATGCAATAGATATAAAATTCAAGCCAAATATGTAATTTTAAATTTTCTCATAAAGTTTTCACATTCAAGTTTTTTAAAAGGGTGAAATTAATTTTAATAATATACTTTACTTAACCCAATATAGCCAAATTATCACTTCAATATGTAATCAATACAAAAAAAAAGATAATTTATCTTTTTTTATACTATGTCCTTGAAATCTGTATTTTACACTAAAACCACTCTCGATTTGGTTTAATCACATTTCAAGTGTGCAATAACCACATTTAATTAGCAGTCCCCGTACTGGACAATGCATATAACATAAATGACGTGAGTCAAATACAATTTCTAAATTTCTAAAGCACTATTATATAATCAAGAGAGCCCTAAGTACTTAAGCAAAAGCAAAATGTCTTCAGCATAGTCTTTAAGGGCAGATATAGGCATACAATAAAATCAAACAAAAATAACAATTAATATTTATTGAGCATTTACTATGTGCCAGACACTATTTTAAGGCATTATCTTACTTGATCATCACAAAGGCCTTTGAATTGGGTACTAGTAATGTCAGCATTTTACAAATGAGAAAATTAAGACACAGGGAAGGTGAACGAAGATTTAACCTAGGCAGTCTGACTCAGGGGCTATGCTCTTTTAAACACTACACCTGCTATGCTGCAAGAAAAATACCCAAAATAACAAAAGTTGGTGTATAAATATGGAATAAAACAGCAAAAATTCTTTCTTTGGGAATTAACAGGTTTTAAAGCTGAATCATGTCACATAACCCTTTTCCACAAGAAGATCCAATCTCCAACTAATACAATTTTAAATTAGAATTTTTATTTTTAAATAATTATCACCACAAATATTTTTTAACTTTATACTGGTAATCTGAATATTTATTTATGATGCAGTACTAACGCTTAACAAAAAGTGAAGAATAATAAAAGAATTATTTTAAGTTCAAGAACATTCCAGTTTGTGTATTAATTTCAAGAGGCTGCACTCTGTTATTGAAATTCATTATATTTCTAATTTTATTATACTAGTTATATTGTAGACTTCTTTTTAACAGTTTCATTCTCTTTTACATAGGAAAGGAAAAGAGCTTATCTTCTCTCATTCACCTATCATATCAAGGAATAAAAAAGTATGAGAAGATAAAACAGGCAAGAAAAGAGCTAGCTTCTTTCCTAATTCTCAATTCAAAGAAAAAGCAGAAAACTATGTAATATTGAACATCATATTAGATGGGTACAAGGTACCCCAAGATTTTTAGCTAAAGCAAGGGACACTGCTCACTTTCACCTGTCCATGCAATCAGCAGAATGACGTAAACACTGCCTAATGTTTATAAAAATTTCAGATAAAATGCTGGACATCTCTTTAGAAATAATATTCAAAAATACCTGGTCTGAAATAAACAATCACATGTTAAAGAAAATCTGTGCTGAGAGCTTAAGGTGTCTGACCCTTCTGTGTACCTAAAATCACCCGATAGCGACAGCCTTGACCCAGAGTTGAAGGCCATGGCTGTCTGCTCACTAACCATGATGTCTCTGGAAAGCTTGATCACACCACCTTCAGTTACTTAATAAACCTATCAACATACTGTTTTTAGAATCCCTCCCACATATTCAAAACTTCACCAAGGTAGCCGGGCGGGGGAACCTCTTAATGCAAGAGTTCATTTACACAATGTACCTGAGCAGATATTTAGCAATAGAACAAAAAGGTTAAAGAGTTAATCTGCCATCTGCCATAATGAAGAAATAACTCAGCTAACCAAAAATTTTACAAGCAATATATTCCCATCACATACATTTTGTCTTTGATCTGAAGAACTTTATCAAATAAATTGTCTCAGAGAACTTACAAAGCTAATCTGTGTACTTCTTTAGTTTTTGTTTTTGTTTTTTCCTTTGACTGCCTACATGTCAGTCACTAGGTCTGGCCCTTTTATATCTATCACCCTATTAAGTCTTCCCAACAAGTCTATGCAATCAGTGTTTCTGCTTTAAAGAAAGGGAGACAGACTTACTGAGCATTAGCTCAAAGTCACACAGCTGTTAAAAGGGAGCCAAGGATGTACTCTCCGGGCAGAGCTTCTGACCTTCCAGTATCGGGTTCCTTCTACAACACACAATGTTTTTTCCTATTTCATTCCCTGTTTACTGAACAATTTATCTACCATGTGTACCTTCATACTCTCAAATAATGGCCCTTACATGTAAGCAAAGTTTTAATGTTACTCATACCTCTACAAACCTTGACCTTTATTTGCAAATTCCAATGAGAAGCACAAGAACATAACACACACTGCTTCTCTCTAAAACATTAAACACATCCAGTATCCTTACCTGTTTCTGAAATGTACGTAACAGGATCCTGCCGCAGAATTTTACCAGGCTTAGACAATGGCAATTTTTCTGGTTGCTTTTTGGCATTTTTCACCTGTACTGTCTCCTCTGACTCTGAATCTGTACATGAGAGGAAAATTAAACAAAACATTGAAAGAAATGTAATACAGTGTGTTTTTAAAGTGATTATTGTTAACCAATTTCTCAGGGTCATCCCTTTTGAAGCACATCTCGTCTGTAATTCTCACAGGTTACTTCTACCCAGTGGTAAGCCTTTTATTAGTTTTCTACTGCTATGGTCACAAACTTAGTAGCTCAAGGCAACACAACGTTTTTATCTTACCTTTCTGTAGAAATCTGAGCCTCACTGGACTAAAATCAAAGTGTCAGCAGGACTGATTCCTTTCTGAATACTCTAGGGAAGAATCTACTTCCTTGCCTTTTCCAGTATCCAGTGCCTGCAAGCATTCCTTGGCTCATGGCCCCCTTCTCCATCTTCAAAGCCAGCAATATTAGGCAAAGTGCTTCTCATGCTGCCATCTCTCTGGTTCTCTGACCTTCCAGTCAATCTCTCTTTAACTCTCTTCTCCTGCTTCCCTCTTCCTTGTGACTACATTGGGCCCTCCCAGATAATCCAAGACAATCTCTCTAATTTAAGGCCATGTGATTAACAACTTTAATGCAACCTACTACTTTAATTTCCCTTTGCCATGTAAACTAGGTTCCATGAATTAGGGCACACATCTTTGGGGACCATTATTCTGTCTACCACCACCTAGTCACCCAGAGCCCTTAAATATAAATCAGGACAAAGTGTAAGTACCCAGTATAGTGCCTAGCACAAAATAAGTGTTTCATGAACGTTAGTGTCCTTCCTCTTCATCGTGCATTTAGAAATCATATCTCATACTACTCTATATTGTATCCAAAAATTAAACTTCCAGTTTCTAAAAACAGATGGAAACTCATGGGAAATGGGGATATGTACTTCTTTCAAATTTCTTATGCCCTGGTTGGATGGCTCAGTTGGTTGGGGCATCATCCCATACACCAGTGGTTCTCAACCTTCTGGCCCTTTAAATACAGTTCCTCGTGTTGTGACCCAACCATAAAATTATTTTCGTTGCTACTTCATAACTGTAATGTTGCTACTGTTATGAATCGTAATGTAAATATCTGATATGCAGGATGGTCTTAGGCGACCCCTGTGAAAGGGTCATTCGACCGCCAAAGGGGTCGCGACCCACAGGTTGAGAACCGCTGCCATACACCGGAAAGGTTACAAGTTCCATTCCCCGTCCAGGCATGTACAGGAGGCAACTGACTGATGTTTCTCTCTCTAAAATCAATAAAAAATATCCTCGAGCGAGGATTTTAAAAAAATTTTCTTACAATATACAGCAGTAAGACTCAATAATCACACAAGTACTTTTAGAATTGAGTCCAAGTTCTTTGTCGTCACTGTTAAAATCCTGACAATCTATAAATGCTTCCTTAGGTTACATTTTTAATTTTAGAGTTCACACCAGATGGATCTTCTCCACAAAGCAAAACCTAATACCTTCTGAGTCCTACCATTATTTAAAGATATAAAAGGCACGCATAAAGATTCATATTCCCTATCTTAAAATTATATTCAAAGAAAAACTTTACAATTGTGTTTGTCCTATTTTAACAAAAAAGGACAAGCTCAAAAGCACAAAAATTAAATTTTAGATCTCTGTTTCTAAAGCAATATTCTAAGGCACTATTTTTCAAGTTAAGCTTCTCAGAACCTTAGCTGGACAAGAAGGTGATATATTTTAAAATAATATAGTCAAAGTAATTGGAGACATGCTATATATACTATACATAATATATCCCTCTCTAAGAAAAATCTCTAATGCATTAATATAGATAGGCTCTGATAAAGTCTGCAGTATAATAAAATTGTTTTTTACTGTATCAAGCACAGAGCCTTCTCACACGAGCACCTATTACCATCACAGAGAGCTGTGTGTCTCAGAACATCAGTTTGAAAAATTCTGTTCTAAGGGATAGAAAATAATTTTAAAACTTGAAAGCTCCTCAAAAGAAATATTACCTGAATCATAGATGATCCTCTTTTTCCTGTTTGGTTGCTTCTGTTTAGAGTCATCATCTTTACAAGAACTATTTACCTATAAACATCACAGTATAATTAGAACACAAAGAAGCCTATATAACTTAGTATTTTCCTCATTAGATTTAGGCTCAGTGCTTCTCAACTAGAAGAAATTGTGTCCCCAGGAGAGAGTTTTGTTTGGCAGCGGCAGGGGAGGGGAGGCTAGGTTTAGTGGCATCTAATGGGTAGACTAGAGATGTTACTAAACATCCTATAATGCACAGGACTGTCATCCACCAAAAGAATTATCCAGCCCTAAGGGGTTTGGCCCAGTGGATAGAGCGTCGGCCTGCAGACTGAAAGGTCCCAGGTTCGATTCCAGTCAAGGGCATGTACCTTGGTTGTGGGCACATCCCCAGTAGAGGGTGTGCAGGAGGCAGCTAATTGATGTTTCTCTCTCATCCATGTTTCTAACTCTCTATCCCTCTCCCTTCTTCTCTGTAAAAAATCAATAAAACATATTTTTTTAATTAAAAAAAAGAATTATCCAGCCCAAAATGTTAATAATGCAATGATTAGGCTAAAGAATAGGCCAGACAATAATTGCATCAGATGGAAAAGAAAAAGTTATAGAAAAGCTATATTACTTTTCAGCTCCACTTTCAACACTAATCTGTGTATAATAAAGAGTAAAAGGATGTCAGATATTACAAAGCATAAATAAAATTAAATAAAACCAGGGGAAAAGGTATTGTTTACAAGTTACTTATACATCACATCTCTAACATATTCAAATTTTCCCAAAAAGCAGACAGGAAAAAACTGACTATAATCAATTATAAGGTAGGATTCTATTTCTAGCCCTTATAATAAAACATCAAAAGTATAAAAATAACCCACTAACTTGCAAGGAAATGAGAAGAATAAACCATTATAATCCAAATACACCACTGGACTAGAGAACAGAAGCAATTACTATAACTCAACAGTAAGAGAAGTGGGTATCCAAGAAGGGAGAGAGCCACAGAAGGAAAGTCCAAATCCTTTCAATAAACTTAGCCCAAGTCTGGGACTATCTTCTAAAATATGTATGCATGAAACAACTCCAAGTGTCCAGCTAACATTAAAAGAATTGAACAAAAATTTCAGCTGTTGCCCATCACAGGGAATACAAGAGTCTGGAGTTTGAGTTTGGCAAAGTTAACTAACTGCCTGCTAAATCAGAAGAATCCAAAGTACCTACACTATATCATTCACGATGTCCATGGTGAAAACCAGCAGGATACAAAGAAATAGGAAATGTAGCAATGATTGTCAATTTTATGTATCAACTTGACTGGGCCACAAGATGCCCAGATATTCTGAGTGTTTTTGTGAGTTAAGTTTTGGGATAAGTTTAACATTTAATGTGATAGAGTAAGGCAGATTGCTCTCCCTAATGTGGGTGGGTCTCACCCCGTCAGCTGAAGGCCTGAAGAAAACAAAAGGCTGACCCTCTCCTAAATATAAAATTCTTCTTCTTTTGTGACTGTTTTCAAGCTGAAACATCAGTTTGTCCTGCTTTCAGACCTAAACTGAAATAGGCTCTTCCTGGGTCTCAAGCCTGCCAGCCTTCAGATTGGGATAACACCACTGGCAATCCTGATTTACAGGCCTTTGGACTCAGAGTTGAACCTCACCATCAACTATTCTGAGTCTCCACTTGTCAACTGTAGGTCTTGGGACCTGTCAGCCCGTATAATCAAGGGAGTCAATTCTTTATAATAAATCTCTTTACAAATACACACACACACACCTTACTGGTTCTGTTTCTCTGAAGAACCCTAATACCGATTTTGTTACTGAGAAATAGAGTACTGCTATAACAAATATCTAAAATATGGAAGTGACTTTGCAACTAGGTAATGGTGGAGGCTAGAGGAGTTTTGAGGTACATGCTTAAAAAAGCCTAGACTGCTGGGAAGAGACTGTTGGTAAAAATATGGACATTACAAGTGATTCTGGTCTGACCAGGGTGGCTCAGTGGTTGAGCATCAACCTATGAATCAGGAGGTCACAGTTCCATTCCCAGTCAGGGCACATGCCCGGGTTGCGGACTCTATCCCCAGTGGAGGGCATGCTGGAGGCAGCCAATCAATGACTCTCTCTCATCATTGATGTTTGTATCTCTCTCCTCCCTTCCTCTCTAAAATCAATAAATATATATTGTTTTAAAAAAGTGATTCTGGCAAAGTGTCAGGGATAAAAGGTGAGAACTATAGAAAAAGCCTCTATCATCTTAGAGAATATATGTATCATCATGAACATAATGCTGGTAGAAATATAAACATTAAAGGTCATTCTAATAAGGTCTTAGGCAAAAATGAGGTTATTGGAAACTGTAGGAAAGGTGATCTGTGTCATTCATATATATATAAAAAGCCTAAGCGACCGTTATGATGGAACAACCAGAATGACTGGAACGACTGGTCTGGTCGTTATGACGTGCACTGACCACCAGGGGTCAGATGCGCAACTCAGGAGCTGCCCCCAGCCCACAGGCCCCGATCTCCAATGGGGCCTGCTGGCCAATCTCCTGGTTCCTCCCCCTGGCCGACAGGCCCAATCACCTGATCGGGGCCAGGCCCCTGGGCTGGGATGGGAAACCGGGGGTTGGTGGTGGTGTACGCAGCCCCTTTCCCAGGGGGCCGAGGGCCGGCTCCCTCCTTGGGGCTGGCGTCCAACCTCCCAGGTCCCTTCCCCCACCACTCCCGCCCTCCGGCAAGCCATGATCAGCCCACTGTCCACCTACCACGGTGGTGGTTGGGCCCTCCCCCTGGGCAACAGGTCCCGATTGCCCTATCGGGGCCAGGCCCCAGGCTGAGATGGGGAACCGGGGGTGGGTGGCGGTGGACGCAGACAGCGAGGGAAGGGGGGGGGAAGCAGGGAGGCAGGAAGGCAGGGAACCGTGTGGTGGCAGCAAGGGAGGGGGGGCAGGGAGGCAGGGAGGCAGGGAACCTGATGGGTCCTGATCGCTGGCCAGGCCTAGGGACCCCACCCATGCACGAATTTCATGCACTGGGCCTCTAGTCTATATATATAAAAGCTAAGCAACCAGAACGACCTGTCAACCAGTCACTATGACATGCACTGACCACCAGGGGGCAGACGCTCAATGCATGAGCTGCCCCTGGTTGTCAGTGCACTCCACAGCCAACCTCCCACAGCCCCTCCCCTGCTGGCCAACCTCCCGTGGTGACTCCCCCCAGCCGGCCGGCCCACCCCAGATGGCCCTGATCGCCGGCCAGGCTGAAGGACCCCACCCATGGATGAATTTGTGCACCGGGCCTCTAGTTAAATGATAAAACTCTTGCCCAAGGAGGACAGGCAAAAAAAATAAAGCTTTCCAAAGCCCTTTCCTCACCAGAAGTCCAATACCATTCACCTGGGTATAGGGACTCATGTCTCTCTATGAGCAAACTTTGGTCTTAAAACAAAGTTTTTACAACTGAAAAGTGTTCCATCTCTACCTCAGGAAAGCATATGAATTCAATAAGCCATATTAATTAGAAATAAATACTAGCTCATTACTTTTCTTCTTCCACTGCTAAATGAGTTGAAATCTGTATTTACTCAAGGCTCCCTCAAGTCCTATCAAGTCTAGGAACTGAACTGATTTAACCTTTCGTACAATTCTAAATTGTATTTGGAAAACTTACCTTGATTTCCTTTATTCCTTTCTTTGCTTTTGAAGTTTCTTCAGCAGACTTTGTTTTCTCATTCTTCTTTATTGTTTCACTTGCAGATTTCTTTCCACTTGGTATAACCCCAAAGAATTTCCGAATATCCTAAAAGCAAAAAAGATTCATAAGTAAACATTAACTGCATAAAATTCTAATTTCAATTGTAAAAAGGGACACCTCTATACACACACTGGTTTACCTTGAGTAATTTCTTTTTTGTTAAATATATTTTTATTTATTTCAGAGAGTCAGGGAAAGGGAGATATAGAAACACCAAAGATGAGAAAGAATCACTGATCGACTACCTCCTACACGCCCCCACTGGGGATTGAGCCCACAACCCAGGCATGTGCCCTGACTGGGAATCAAATGTTTCATAGGTCAATGCTCAACCACTGAGCCACGCCAGCCAGGTGAGTAAATGCTCAACCACTGAGCCACGCCAGCCAGGTGAGTAATTTCATTATGGTGACATAGTTCCATGTGTAGCAGCATTCTTTTTATATGCAAAAGTGAACTGATAAAATTACCTGAGTTAAAAATGATTTGCCTAATGAAAAACAGTATTAATTCTAAGAATAGGGCCAAAAATAAGCAAGTGAAATTTTTGTTAACAATAGCACAATTACTAAAGTAGCAAGTAATAGGTATTTATTGTTCAGTCATGCACATACTCAGCTCACCATACCAGGCACAGTAGCAAAGAAGATGAAGAGTTGAAAAATATAATCCTTGCCCACAGGATTTACAATCCAGTTTGAAAGAAGAATAACCATAACAACCCTGATCATTTAAGACTTTAAGAACTTTGAGATTGTTTTCCTTTATATGAGTTTTCCAAGTTCTGAAGAAAAAAATTTTGATGCTTATTACAATATTCTCTTTAATTACTCTACCCCCCTCCCAGTGTTACACTGTATAATTTAATCATACAAACATTTACAATGTAATTTATAATTAAAATCACTTCATTTTCTTATCTTATCCATACATATTCTTCCCTACCCTTTTAGATTTTAGCTTTGAATCAAAAAGCCTTGGTGCAAATCTTTAATTTACTGTCGACTATCTGTGTGTGACCCTGGGCAAGTTACTTTAATTTATAAGTCTGTTTCTCATCAGTAAAAATAGAATTAATACCTATTTTATGAGAATTAATTATAGCATCTATCACAATTTTGGCTCAATAAAAAGCTTCCCTTCCCCTCCTTTATGAACTATTATCCCTTTATACCCTGTAACATCTCCATTTACAGATCTCTACTCATAGTCAAGGGTATCGGGAACACAAAATAATGAGAACCTAGGATCTGAATTCCAACGAACTAGGTTCAAGAACCAATTGTACCTTCTTCCCTCTTCTTATTCTTGATGATTATAATTCTGAATTTTCAAATCCTTTTTACCTGTTTCAACCTATCTCTCTTTATTGTAGTGAGGAAAATGCCTGTAAAATTATTTTGTGAAGTATAAGAAAGTTAATTATTTCCTACACAAGAGGCCCGGTGCACGAAATTCATGCATGGGGGGGGGAGGGGTGTGTACCTCAGCCCAGCCTGCACCCTCTCCAATCTGTGACCCCTTGAGGGATGTCCGATTGCCCGGTGGGATCGGGCCTAAATGGGCAGTCGGACATCCCTTTCACAATCCAGAACTGCTGGCTCCCAACCGCTCTCCTGCCTGCCTGCCCAATTGCCCCAACCACTTCTGCCTGCCAGCCTGATCACCCCCTAACCACTCCCCTGACAGCCTGATCAAAACTTAACTGCTCCCCAGCTGGCCAGATTGCCCCTAACTGCCTTCCCCTGCTCAAGGGAGAGAAAAACACGCAGTGGAGGCCAGGAGCCTGAGAGATCAACACAGAGGGGCGCCTGCTCCAAGCCTCCACGGTGTGGCTGGGGGCAGGCCCCCAGCAGACAGACAGACACACACACACACACACACACACACACACACACACACACACACACACACACACACACACAGGACGCCTGCTCCGAGCCTCTGCTGCCAGACTATGGCCATCAGTAGGACATCCACTGAGGGCTCCCGGACTGTGAGAGGGGCAGGTTGGGCTGTGGGAACCCCACCCCCCAGTGTATGAATTTCATGCACCGGGCCTCTAGTATGTAATACTTTCAACAATAAAGAATTATTTAAAAGAGGAGGAGGAGGAGGAGGAGG